CTCTTCTGTTCTCTTCCCTTCCCTTCCCTTCCCCAGCCCTCCCGGGGCCGCCCTGTGCCGCGCCCCTGGGCCCCAGCCCCTCCGCCCGCGCCCCGGCCCCGGCGCCCGGGCCTCCGCCTGCCACCGACTTTTGCATTGCATTGATCCGCCTTGCGGGTTGCCAGGGCCTAGCCAGAGCGCGATGCCAGTTGACACCCTCCACCCCCGGTGCGGTGAGGTGGTGCGGGCCCAGAACTGTCCTGCTTTTGTGTTTTTAACATTCCCGCCCCCTTCTGTTGCTGCGAAGGAATTTGAGGCTAAGGGGCTGGGCCCTCTAACGCCGAGCAGCCTCTCGACTCTGGGTCTTACAGTGCTACCCATGGATTAACCAGACTGAATGGTTTGAGGGTGAACAGGGTACGCCTTATTCAGATGCTTCTGGAACGTCGAAATTATCTTCTTTGGAGAGAACCATCCCCTCTTTGGGCTTCAAATGCCCAGATTGAGGCGCAGTGATGACAGGATGTGGTGGTCCACTCTGATGTCAATCTTGAGGGCTAGGTATGTCCCAACATCTCTTATTACTGCTACTAATTATTATAATAGCTACCAGTTGCCGAGTACTTAACTGCATGCCAGGCATTGTACAAAGCAGGTTACATACATCGTCTCATTTAATCTTCAAAAACAACCATAAGAGGTAGGCTATTATTATCCCAATTTTCTAGGTGAAGACATTTACACTATGCTGTCTAAATAACTTGGGATCACACTGCTAGAGTGTGGGGGGGAAAGCGATTCAAGCCGTGCTTTATCTTAACCATATGCTGTTACATCTGTTTAGAAGTTGATCCTTGATCATTTTCCCTGACCGCTTTTAGAACCATGTAGCTCTCCGTGTTTTCTGTATTAATTTTAGTATATGAGTAACAAGTTCATTGTGAAAAAAAATCAGAAAATTCACAATGAGTGAAAATAGTTCCAACCATGCTAAGTTTTAATGTAGTGGAATACAACTCTTCCAGACATTATTCTATGCCTCATGTCAAAACAGGTTTTATCAGAGTAGTTTTACATTCCTGAAAAGCTCTTCATTCATCCAACAAATTTTTAATGAGCATACTTTTCTAGATGCTAGAAATTCAGCAGTGAACAAAGCAGTTTACGTCATAGTGAGAGAGACTGACACTAATCAATATAGCTTATGTATCACTAAATACCAGATAATGTCGAGTAATGAGGCAAGTTTTTTGGAAGCAAGTTCATTAGGATAAAGGAATGAATGTGATGTAGATGCCATTTTGATGGAAACACATCTACCTTCAGGCCTACTTAAGGACAGCCTCTTAATACAAGAGCATGTGAATTGAAATCTGACCATTTAATGAAAGAGGCAGCTGTGTGGATTTCTAGAGGATAACTATGCTGGTATTTGCAATAGCCTTAAGATATAGACTTGCTTGGCATGTTGGAGAATAAGCCAGGCCAGCTGCATGGCTGGAGCACAGCAAATTAGAGAAGTAAGATGGAAAATGAAAGGACTGACAGAGTAATAAGGAGATTTGTTTTAAAAGGATCCCTCTGGCAGCTGTGTGGACATAGATGGTAGAGAAGTTAAAATTGCCCTTTCCAGCATAAATTATCCTTTTATACAGTAGTTATTCAACAGATTTTTTTTTTTTTTTTAGATTTATTTACTTATGTATACAAGAGCTGGGGGACAGGTCAGAGGTGCAGGGTACCTGTAAGAGGTTTCACCAGAGACAGAGTGGGGAACAGAACAGGCAGATTGACTGAAATACACTGCTGACGGAAACAGTGGGCAGGACAGGAGAGGTCTGCTGTGCCATGTGGGTCAACCCCCAGCAGCGTATTAAACTCTTGTTGCAATAGCTGCAGGTAGCTAGCTTCATAGTGTTGTACTTTAACCCATTGCAACCCCATGGAGTGCCCTCAACAGATGGTTTATTAACATTGGTGTTTCACCTACACTTTTATATCTTTACAATCACTTTCACAAAGAGAAGCTTCTTCCACAGAGAGAAGCTAGGGTCAGATGCAGAGGACACATCTTCATGTCTTTTTTACCAAAACTGAAAAATTTTGAGACTGATCTGGGCTCATATCTGGAAGTCATGATTGTCAACAAACTTAATATGAATGGAAAAAGAGCCCACATCATCGTGGGATCTGTTCATTAAAAACATAACATTCAAATATTTGAAAATTATCTTTCCTCTTCTAATAATGTTAGACTCTTATTAGAATTCTAAGCCCATTTTGGTCTCTGTGCTTGAGAAAGAGGAAAAATTTAAATGCCCAAAGAGAGGTAGGATAACGCTGATTAAGGCAATTCTTTCCTGGATTCTTGCCTTCAGCAATGTGGTGGAACATGACATCATTTATAAGACCAGCTGAAGAAAGAACAGACATGAAGGAGAAATTAGAAGTTCTGTTTTGGATCTGTGCTTTGCAATCTGAGTGAAAATGACATCTCTGAGATTAGGCCTCAGAGAGGCAAGAGCTAAAATTGTATAACTGTATTAGAATCGCTTGCTGCTGTTGGTTTTGGATGTGTGTCTTCTTCAGACAGAGCTTGAGGACATGCACTGTCTTTTCTTCTTTGTAACCTCAGTGCCCAGAAGTGCATCCTGGACGCATGTTTGTGAAAGAGCAAGTAGAGGCAAAGGTATGGATGGAATCACTCAGGCAAAATGTATAAGGTAAAGCGAGAACATACACCATCTGCTCTCATTGCAGTCCCAGCCTGGGAACGGGGCCTACAAGTAGGGTGACCTTAAGTCCTGATTTGCTGAGGGCACCCTGGTTTATGTCTCTTGTTTCTACATAATTAGTGATCTTGTCGCATTTAACTAAACGTCTCAATTCATACAATATATTATCTGGTCTCTCTTTGTAGAAGGCCCTTTACAGTCCAGTGTCTTCCTATTTCTTTGTCATCACCATCTTGTCTCATACCTCATTCTCAGCCAGAGGGACGTTCCTCCTTTTCTCCTTATGCACCAGTTTTACCTCCAGGTTTCCTTTCCTTTGACCTATGCCTTACTCCTGCATCCCCAAAATCGAGGCTAACTAGCCTTAGTTAGCTTCTGACGCACCCTGTGTCTAGCCTATTGTGGCAGAGATGACTAAGTGCCTTGTTCCTCCCAAGTGCCTTGTTCACCAAACGTGTCTGTAGAGGAACTTGGAAAAAAAAAACACCTTTTGTGAATAAGTATAACCAGTTCATGTTGGGCTAGTATTTCTGAAGACTGGCCTTCAGGTCAGACTTCAAGCCCTTCTACTTTTTTTTTTTTTTAATTACAAAGTTTATTTTTTGCATCATTTTGTACATTTTTTTTTCCATCTCGATTGTAATCCCCACAGGTTTCCCATCACCAAATCACCCGTGTGCCATCACCATAGTCCCGTGTTTTTTTTTTTTTTTTTTCAGAAAATATCACAGG